AAGCCAGATAGGTAAATAGATAATTTGAGGGTGCGGGGGTGAGATCTAGACCGGCAGAGTGCATGCTCAGTATATGCAAGACCCTGGGTTCCATCCGCACCACTACAAACAAAAAAACAAAAACCATTTCAGCCTAATGTGATAAATTATGAGCAAAATGTCCTAAGGAAGAATAAAAATGGGGTTGCTCAGGTAGACAAACAAGGGCAGGATATTCCAGGCACGGGAACTGCAGAAGCCAGTAAGTGGAAGAGAAACGCATGCCGTATGCAAGGGCGGTGCAGAGTTACTGGAGTGCTGTGCATATGGTCGGGTCTGTAGGGTCTGGTGGTGAATCGTGGGGGCCTGGGAGCTGGAGCTTAGGCTATAGGCAAGGGAGCTCAAAGCATTTAAGCAGGGCAATGACATGATTCAATTTGTTTGTTTTGAAGTATTGAGGACTGAATCCAAAGCCTTGTGCAAGCTAGACAAGCACTCTACCATTGAGCTGTATCCCCAGGCCGTTTTATTCTTTATTTTGAGACAGGGTCTCACTAAGTTCCCCATGTGAGACTTGAACCTTTGATGCTCCTGCTTTAGCCTTCCAAATAGCTGGGTTTACAGGCACGTGCCACCACACCTGGAGAGACTCGTTTTTAAGTGATTCTAGGGTCAGTTCCAGGGATAGAGTAAAATAAAAAAAGATAGGGCTGGGGAAGTAGCTCAGTGGCAGGGCACAGGCTCAGTATGTACAGGGTCTAAGTTTGACCCCCAGCATGGAAGGGGAGGCAGAAGTGAGCAGGTACTTTGCAATGTGAAGTCACATTCCCATAGTTAGGCAAAATATGCGTAAGGACCATAACAGGAGTATTCTGCAGTGACGGGAATGCAGCATCACCAAACTCTCCCCCTACCCTGAGAAGAGGGGCAGATTTTGAGGAGAGAAGAGAACCAGGACTTGATCATTAACTAAGTGTATCTGAAGATGAGCAAGAGTTCTAAAAGAAGTCTGTGTTCTAAACTGCAGTGTGTGGTGGCACATGCTTGTAATCTCAGCACTCGGGAGGCTGAGGCAGGAGGATTGCCACAAATTCGAGGCCAGCCTGGGCTACATAAGAAGTTTAAGGTAAGCCTGAACTACACAGTGAGATCCTGCCTCAAAAGCAAAACAAAACTGGAGTGTTGTCACATGAACTAAAGCTGGGAAAACCAGGAAATAGATGAATAGGAAAGGTGATCAGGCCTGACTTGGAGAAAGAAAAGGAAGCATAGACCTAAAAGGGGATGAAAGGTCAGGACTTTTTTTGCTATGTTTTTTGAGACAGGGTCTTGCTTCCTTTGTGTGTGTGTGCGCGTGTGCGTGTGTGTGTGTCTTTTTTTTGAGACAGGGTCTCGCTGTGCAGTTCAGGCCGGCCTTGAGCTCACTTTGTAGCCCAGGCTGGCCTCAAACTCACAACGATCCTCCTGCCTCAGCCTCCCCGGTGCTGGGATTACAGGCGTCCCGGCTGGGTCTTGCTTCCTAGTTCAGGCTGGACTTGAACTCACTGTGTAGCTCAGGCTGGCCTGGAACTCGGTGATGGCCCTTACCCAGCCTGGAGTGCTGGGGTTGCAGGCGTGCGCCACCGCGTCTGGCAGGTCAAGGACGTCTGTGTGCGCGTTGTCTTCTAGTCTGCGCTTTATGCTGCACAGTAGGCGCTCCGTGTGTTTAGAGAGTGGGGAGTCAGGTGAGCACAAGAACCTGGAGCCAGAGTCTGCTCGCTGACCAAGCGAAGCCGGCGGAGCGATGCTCAGGACCAGAGCGATGCTCAGGACCAGAGCGCTGCGGCGTCGCGGCCTTTCCGGGTGCAGACTGCAGTCTTCCTCCGCGGCCTCCGGGGGCTTGAGAGCGCGGAGAGCTGTGTGGACGGGGCGGGCGGCTCGCGGCAGGGCTGCTGAGGGAGGCGGGCCCCGAGGTGACACCCGCCATTTGGAGGCGGGTTCCCCCCAGCAGGACTTGGGGCTCCGGTACAGGCGGGTGGGAAAGAGGATTCGAGCAGATCGTTGGAGGACACGAGAGCGCGCTGACGTGGACGGGTAAAGGTGGGGGAGCCGGGTCCAGCAGCCGCAGGGGCTCCCGACCGCCCGCAGACCTGGGTGGCATGGAGAAGCAGGTCCTGACGCCAGGGACACGGGAGGCTGGGAGGCTGCCAAGGGCCAGGCAGCGCAGCCTCCTCGGAGCCTCCAGAAGGAGCGGCCCGCCGACACTGGTTTTTATACAAGGGGAGAGATTTTACTTCATGATTATTTATGTTGTAGCACTAGGGTTTAAGCCCAGGGCCTCCACACGGAGCTACACTCCTAGCCCTTTTAGTTTCTGAGACAAGAGCTTGCTAAAGTTGCCCAGGCCACGCTTGAACTTGTGATCCTCCTGTCTCAGCCTCCCAAAGTGCTGGGAATATAACCACCACCACAAGTGGCACTTTATTTTATTTTTTATTTAATTTATTCATGGCTTTACAGACGGCTTTGGCTGTGTTGCCCAAGCTGGACTTGAGTCCCATATAAGTCATCGTCATGGTCGTCCCCGCTTCCCCTTCAGAGGAGCGGGGACCACAGGCTCCTGCCATAGTACCCTGAGCTGCTGACACCTCAGTGTGTGTCCAGGGAGACTCACTTTGGCTTCTGACTTCAGAAGTGTAAGAGAAAGAATGTATGTGTGCTTTGTTTGTTTGTTTTGGTTTTTTTTTTCCAGTACCGGGGATCGAACTCACAACCTTGCGCTTGCCAGGCAGGCGCTGTGCCGCTGAGCTAAATCCCCAGCCCCTAGAATGTGTGTTGTTTTAAACCACTAACATTTTTGGTTATTTTTATAGGAGCAATGGGAAACTAATGCAGGCAGTAAGAAGATTTGTAGGCAGTGAAAAAAGAAGAAAAGTTGTACATCAGAGGGTTGTAAGATGCGCACAACCGGAATAAGGAGAAGGTGGGCAGGACAGGAGATGCAGGTGGGGGCTGCTGTGCTCTCCAGCAGTGTGGACCAGGCCCAGCAACACCGAAATAGCAACAACAACAACAACAGCAACAAGGCAGGAAGACAGAAGTCCAGAAAGGGAAAGGATGTCCAGGCTCACAGGGTCACGTGGAGCCAGGAGGACCACCCTGACCCTAGAGCAGCTGGAGAGGAGAGGAAGCTGGGGGGATCGCCAAGGGCCTGCATCCCCTCAGGAGTTCTGTCCCGACAGCTCTGGGGGCAGCTGAAAGGGATGAGCTGGGGCACTTCCCACACGAAGCCCAGCTTCCAAGAGGGCAGACATCCGGTGAGAGATCCTGGGCCGGGGGAAGGCGCACTTTTCCAGAGAAACACAGCCAATAGGCGATTATTCTTGTACATAAACAGAGTAAGTTTTATTTCTTTATGTGTTTACTCATCAATTTAGTATGGGACTAGGGATTGAGCCTAGGGTCTCTTGCGTACAAGGCAATGCTCTACCACTGAGCTGCACCCTGGCCCTTTGGATTTTTTTTGAGATAGAGTTTTGTTAAGGGGTCCAGGCTGGGCTTTTACTTTTGAAACTCCTGCCTCAGCCTCTGGAGTCGCTGGGATTACAGGCTTGTATCCCTGCGCCTAGCCTAGGAAAAGATTTGTGTTCAAGTGTTGGCTCTGGCAGTCCTGGGGCAGACAAACTGAAACCCGTAGGCCAAGCCAGGCGGCTGGAAGCCCAGGCCTTAGGCAGAAGCTGACCCCGACGTCTGGCGCACAGCTACTTCTCTAGGAAACCTGTTTTTGCTCTTTCCTTTGTGGTGCAGACGGGTTTCAGTCTTCATCCCTGGTTCCTGGCTCACTGCTCCCCTAGGCCTAAGTGAGCAGAACAGTGCTGGGTGTTTGGTGCTCCGAAAGCAGAGTCTCTGGCCTGCCTGCCCTTTCTCTCCCCAAGCCAGGCGCAGAAACCTACCTCCCCCACCCTGCAGAGCTTCTCTGACCCACCTTGTCCTGCACAGATAAGACCCTGGTGCTGGCTCCCTGAAGAATCCGGGCAGACAGACCTTGCGGGTCCCGCCGCTGTGCTGGCTGCTGTGCCACGGTTGTGCTCCAGGCAGACCCAGAGACAGATCTGCGGACCACAGAGCAGGCTCGGTGCTGGGAGGGCGCCCTCCCCTCAGGCCTCACCGGCCTCCCTTCATCTGGCCCCACGTACTGTCCTTCATAATAAACTGGTAAAGCCAGACATGGAGGCGAACACCTGCAGTCCCAGCACTCTGGGAGGCTGAGGCAGGGGGACTGCAAGTTGGAGCCCAGACTGGGCAGTTCAGCAACTTAACTAGACTAAGGCTGGGATAGCTAAGTGTGAAGGCCCTGGGTTCAATCCTCAGTGCAGGGGGAAAATAAATAAACTCTTAAATGTTGTTTCCCTGGGTTCTGTGAGCTGTTGAGCTGGGCTGTGGGAACCGCAATGTCTAATCAGAGAGCAGGTGAGCCTGTCCGGGGCCTGCAGCTGGCATTGGAGGGCACATTTTTGCCATGGAGCCCTCCCGCAGCCCTGATGCCCGCTCAGCCGGCCGCGGAGTGGGCTGGCTGCGGTGGTGCTAGCGTGTCCACTCGCTCCCGATCCAGCTCCAAAGGGAGAGACAAACCAGGGAGCCCACCGCTGCACCTCGGAGCGGGCGCCGTGTGTGTTCGGGGAAAGCCCCCCCGCAGTCAGGGGAACCTGTGTGTCAGGAGAGGAGAAGCCAAGTCTGAGTTGGGGCTGCGTTTTCCTTCCACACCCTCAGACTTATGGGGACCCAGAGTTGGTATAAAGATGATCTGAACCCGAGGCTCAGAGCTCCCACTTGGCTAAAATCAGTGAGTGCTGGGAACACGGGTGACACAACCCTTAAGGCCAGATCCACCGGGGACAGGGTAAAACCTCCCTCGGAGGTGTCTTCAGGACATAGCCCATTTCCCGGAGACTCCCTTTCCTCCCCGAGAGGCCTCCTGCTCCCTTCACCGGGTGCTGAAGGATGGAGCCTGCTCCCCAGCCCAGCCCTGGGTGCACCCCGAGAGCGCCGTGTGCGAGCTGCACCGTAGACAGCTGCTTCCCCTGCACTGGGGACGCACCGGCCTTGCACACGCAGGACACCTGCCTTGCACATGCTGGGCAATAGTGTTCACCAGCCGCGGCCCCAGCCCTTTTTCCTCTTCACTTTGAGACAGGCGTCTTAGTCACTTTCCTCCTCTCTGGGACTAAATACCCAGCACCTGCAAGTTAAGGAAGGAGCGGGTGACCGTGGCTGGGCAGTTAGACGTTTCAGGCCTTGTGTGGTCAGTGGAGCGGGCGGGCTGGGGCACAGGAGAGCTGCCTACCTCAGGCAGACAGGAAGCAGAGCGGGCTGGAAGGGAAGGGAGATAAACCCTGCCAGGTGCCCGAGTGACACCCACTTCCGACCTGCCCCCACCTCCTAACGGACGGCAAGTCCGCACCAGCACCCCACAGTCCAGTGAGCCTCCCCAGCCCCACCTGAGAGCGGACGGTACTCTGGGGACGTGGAGACACCTCAGCCCAGACCTGGCCTCCGCCTGTGCCTCGAGTGCTGTGTCACGGCGTGGCCGCAGTGTGCGCCTCAGTGTGCGTCTCGGGAGAATGTGGTCCACGTGGAAGCTTCACCCTAGCTGTTGTAAGAGCAGTATTTTGCCTAAGAAACAAATAAGCAGTCACAAACAGGGGAAAGGCAGAAGGTTGTAGGGCGTGTTTCCACCACCCTCCCCTGGGCACTTGCTAAAATCAGCTGAAGTGGAAACAATGTATGTAGCCCTGAGCCCAGGCTTTACCCGCTTTCTGCATTTGACACAAGATTTATTTATCCGGGTTGGTGTTTTCCTGAGCTGCATTCCTGTTTTAGGCTGGGGTTTCTCTCGAAGTGACACGTGGGTCTGACTCGTCAATTATAAGCCTGGAGTTCTGGCAACAGTAATAACGAAAACCCCCGCGGGCAGGTTGCGCACTGAAGCTGCTGCACTCCGCCGGCTCCGTGAGGCGGGGCTTGTTGCCAACAGAAACTTAAAGCGGCCGTTCTGCAGTTATACGTTCACTGTCATTACCGGCTCTGTTTTCTCTGTGCAGTCGGAGATCGGCCTGTGGCTTCTGCCTGGACAAACTGGTTCTGAGAATGGAAGGCCCCGGAGAGTGGATGTAGCTGCAGAACACTTGGCCCTGCACAAGGCGAATGCAAACCTTGAACCCAGAGGCCACGGCGACAAGCTTTACTTAAAGTGTCAGACGAGGTTGGTGGCAGCCGCAGACCTCTGCCTGAATGGCACCAAGTGAACAAGCAGACCTCTTTCTAGACCCTCACAAGCACCCAGCACACGCTGGCTCGGGACTGAGGGCACCAGGCTCCTCGCTGCAAGTGGGGGACGGCGCCTACCCTGGGCCCTTTGGATCCCCACAGCACAGCTCTCTGACGCGGCGGCGTGAGCCAGCCTTTCACCCGCTGCTGGACCCCGATTGTCACAGAAGGGAGGCTCCGGGCCCAGGCGCCCAGCATGTGCAGGGGTGTGCGACACTCCACAGCCCGCATCCCCAGGACAGTGTGCACTCAGGAGGAGGGCGGCTGCTCATGCTGGTTATTCTCCATGGCGCGCTGAGGGGACAGGGCTGCTCAGTACAGGGACAAAGGGACGAGGACAGCGTAGAGCTCAGATACCAACAGCAGTGTGGTGCCCGGTGACACACCTCCCTGGCGCCAGTATGTTGCTATTAACTATAGTGACAGGTCCCGAGAACCAGGTGCCCACGGATGAATAAGAAAAGGTAAAAGAGACAAGAAAAACAAGAGAGCTAAAAATCTGGGATCAGGGGGCTTACAGTCTCTCGGACTGCAGCGGCCCCGATCACTCATCTCCATCACCTTTTATTAGAACAAAGAATGTAACTAACACCAGCAGGAGAAATTCACTATTCCTTTCCAGGTCTGCCTCTCAGCGGATGGTAACAGTCCTCAGGCGGGCCTCCCACACCCAGTACCACGTTCACTCAGTCCAGCTGGGGATCATAAGCCGACCATCAGTTAATCAATCCATTAGCAGTCACAGTCCTTTTCCCACATATCCCCCTTTTTGTTTGAATGCAATCCTTTGAAGCATCAACGAGAAGGTTGCCAATCGTCTTCCGTTTCTCAGTGTTTCCTGGATGAACTTCGCTAGACCAAGAGGATGAGGCAAAATACGATGATAACATCGCATGAAATGACAATAGATGTTTGCAGAAATGGGAACATAGTTCAGCATTCATAACAATGGTTAGCCTTCAATTTATATCTTATGATCACACTTTTTCCCGGATATCTAAGACCAAGTTAGAGTAAGGCTTATAAAAATAAAAATTTTAACCTTTCACTATCTATCAAGGTCAGGTAGGTCTTCTCAGGAATCTTCTTGGAACCAAGTGCGGCATCTCTTGATCTTCTGTCAGCGTCAGCCATCTGGATGAGTCATGCCATTGCTTGACCAAGGTGCTTTCTGTGAAAGCCTGAGAGATTTTTTCTCTCTTAGCGACTCTGCTTAGGCACACTATACATCGTAGAATCACTTTCCTCTGTGGTTCCACAATCTCCTTGATCAGAAAATTAGGGACTCAACCGAGTTATAGGATGTCACAGCAGAAGTTCTCTTATGTCCTGAGTCTTTACTGACCTTAGAGGGCATAGCCAAAATATTGGCTGTGTTTTTAGCCCAAATTATCTTTCTGATATTTATTCTCCAGATCTCAGTTGTTAAACAGCCAGCGGAGAAGATTAATGATATAACATCATAACGGAGGGGCTGGGGGTTTAGCTCAGCGGCAAAAGCGCCTGCCTGGCACGCGCAAGTTCGTGAGTTCGGTTCCCGGTACCGGAGAAAAACCAAAACCAAAAAAAAAAATAAAATAAAATAACATCGTAACGGAGGCAACAAGCTTAATATCATAATCTAATCTACATAGCAAACACCTTAGGACATACAAATGGAACCATAATTTTTTAACAACCATGGATATTCCAATATTTAAATCTTAATAGAATGTTAACAAACAACAATTACATATATCTATCCAGAAATTTAAAAATCAAAACCACATATGACACTACATGACAATCATGACACTTTATAAGATACTTAAATTTTTGTCCTGACACTACATATCCCTTTTAACCAATCTTCTTTATTTAATACTTCCAATTTATTATTCCTCAATGCAATATACCTCACATGTTTTTATTAAAGGCAGGGATCTCAATTTGAAAAAAAAGTCCTATCAGAAAATACAGTCTTTGCTCCATATTTTTAAAAATCTGTAATTATGAATACATTCAATACACCCTGAAACCAATACCAACGAATTACCACACACATATGAAAAAAAGGAAAAGAAAACAAAAAGCTTTTATCAAAATTCTACTTTATAGCAAGAGGATCCTCCATAAGAAAACTATATTATAATTTCTACTGAAAACTTTTTCTTTGACAAAAAGATTCAATTATAGGGGTGTTGCCCAGGAAATCGTGGAGAGCACTGGGGGCTCCTTATTAATAAACAAAGGTTGGCCACCCCTTTATTCACCAATCAGAGTCCTACCCAACAATTTTTTTACTCAGGGATTATAATTTAATATCTTTATTTAAATATCTTCATTTAAACCAGCTGGTAGGGTCTTCGGACCGGCTTGCTCCCTGCCTCATAGGCCCCCGGAAGGAGGGCCTCCGGCGCAGGGGGAGCCACGTGGTGGCGCTCAATTGAGAACTACCATGACACAGAGAAACAACGACACTATTGGCCCACCATTCACCGGCTGCAGATGCCCCCCCACGGACATGTGTTAATCATTCAAACATGGAGAAACCCCTGGGAATACGTGCCATACAATGGGCCACTCTTGCTCCTGCCATTGAGAACCAGAAAGGTCCAGAGCCAGCGGAGGAGCAGCTGCTGAACAAGGACTCAGAGAACATGAGAATGCAGACTAAGCCAGAGGAGTCAGAGGTCCTGTGGACTGGGGTCATGAGAACTGCTCTGAAGCTGTAAACCAGGAGGACCTTGCACAATACCTGCGGAGACTCCCTGGAAGCCATTCTTCCCCTGACAGTACAGGCTGTGGTGAAGCTCTGGAGAAGTCTGCAGCAGGATTCCTGCTGCCAGTGCTGACAGTTGGCGAGAGGACACTAATGGGTTGTGGGGTCCCAATGCAATGGGAGGCTGGAGAAAACGCTACAAAAAATGGCTTTGGCCCCAGACGGCTCACCTGATTTTTGACAACCCTTAGGCTATAAGTACTTGTTAGATCCTTCTTGCATATCTCTGTCTTCCTGAGAAACCACTCTGAAGATACCATCATGTATTACAACAGCCATTGATATTTTCCTACTAATCTATCCATAACTCTGTAATGTTTGTATTGTTCCTATCCTATTTCATAAATGGATGCATGTTTATTATTATGTGTTTCCTACCACAACCATTGAGAATAGTTAATGATTATTCAATAGGTCACTCATGTATAGCTCTATTTATTTTCTTTAGAAGCCACTTTGAAGATACCAAAGTATAGTACAACAACTATTGATAATCTCCTACCTCTTTTGTCTGTAACTCACTATTATTTGTCTATTTGTTTTCCTGAGAAACTATCTTGTAGATAACAATATGTAAAACAATAACCATTGACAATTTCCTACCACTTTGTCTGTAATTTGGTAAGCCCCACCTATAATGATGTTATCCTTCTTTTACTCTTTAAAATAAAAATAAAAATAAAGTAAAATAAAATAAACCAGCTGGTAATTTAAGTGAAAGCATGCCCTTAAATTTACAACCCAATTGCATCGTAAAAAAAATTTTGTTGAGCTCAAAAACAAAGGAGAACAGCTGTTCACAAAGTGACAGACATGCAAACAAGTACACAGAACATTTACACAAAATCAGAGTGCCTTCAAACATACCCTTAACCAAATTATATTGTAATAATTCTATTACAATTTTAAAAATTTTATAATTTAACTATCTGTCATTATAAATGGTCCCCGTGTATCATACGGACCAGGAAGCTATCTAAATTGAGTAACATAAATTGGTACAGGTAGATGCACCTGATTCTATAAAGTCAATGCCTACCATAGCGGCTATGACAGCCAACATGAATATATGAAAAATATATTACTAGCCATAAATATTTTCCAGTGCAATGCAGCAGGTTCTCAACATGATGGGTTACTTTAAGTTGTCCCTAAGTTGGGGGTTGTGCTTTCTGAACATTCTTGATTATTATCTAAGGATGGTGCTGTAGTGGCATCACTCTCATCTTTTCCACTGAAGGATTCAGATCGAATTTGACTCTTGTGGCTCATGTTGAGGTTTAATTCTTCTAGCAGGTAACCACACTTTATCTCCTCAATCTGTAATGACACATGCAAATCCTCTCCCCCAAATTTGAACAATACCTCTTTCCCATTTTCCAGTATGAATATCTTTCCAAAAAATAGGTTGCCCTATTGGTTCTGGTGGTCCTTTAATAATGGTGGCCCAAAATTTTTCTGCTGCTGTAGTAGATGAATCTTTACTAATATCCAAAAAATTTAAAGTGTATAAAGCTTTTTACCAAAAAATTCTTCTTCCAGTACTTCCAAAACCTCCTACACACTCTGTAGGAGCGGCAGGATCTTTTGCATCTGGAAGAAGCAATAATTGGGCTATTAGTTGCGTAACTGTAACTGGGTACACAGCAAAAGCCTTACAAGCATCCAAATCTCCTCCCTGTCTGGCTGCAGCAAGCCTTCATAACCGTAGTCATACGTAATGGTCTTTGAAGAGTTAACTGAGGTGGGTCCCTAAAAGGGTTAAACTTATCATATACTGGGGCTGAGGGCTGCACCGGATACGCCTGGGAGGCCAAAGAATCATATATCGGGGCTGAGGGTTGTGCCGGATATGCTTGAAAGACCAAAGAAGGAGGCGGAGGAAAATCCAATTTCCCCTGCTTATAGTCAGTATTCGATGCAAAAGACCCGTGCCTT